TCTCTTCACGCGTCACTATGGTGATGATCTTTCAACAATATCTACGCTATAAACGAACGTTGAATAACTCACCTTGAATATCATCGTTGAAAGTACAATACTGATTTCGATACTTATCGAGGAAGTGAAAAGCATTGTGATTGGCAAAGTCCTCGAACTGCACAAGGCATACCTGGCCAAATCTAAAACGTAGGAAAAATTAGGAAAAAGTGGCAGCAGGTGAAGGAGCGTAAGATTACAATTACAAAAACACGACTGACCAATATTTTGAGGTTATCATATGTCGTTGCACACTCTAGCAATTTTAGCAGTATGAGCGGAAATTCACCATGATCCTACACGACGCATTTTACAGTACGAGTTTTGTCATTTCTTACTTTTGATTCGATGGACTTGAGCACAAAGATTAAGTCGATTGTAAAAGTGTATTTTAATTTAATTAGCAAATAAGAGTGGTCTTTTTCAATACAAAGGTAGCATAGCTCATAAGTTTGTTTTGTTTTTGATCAAAGCCATTGTTGTGGAGCTGAAAGTTATAAATTTAAACACAGGCTTTTTATGAAAGACCAGTCTGGCGCCCAAAAGCGTGGAATCAAAATAAGAACTGTATTTGTAAGCAATATATCATATTTAACATATCTGAAGATGCTAGCTACAGGCTCAACCCTGAAGCCCGCGTCACACCCAGTGCAAAACTGACCGAGCAAGGGATTGCTTCATGGGGCAATACGGTACGACCATGTAAATCGTACTAATCGTAAAAGCTTGCTATGATCCCTGTTACAGTCGACTACAGAGGCAAAGGTAATCGACAGTTGACATAACTATATATGCTTTAATCCATCAATCTAGGACACTGGTCAGAAACACAGACGAAAGCAATGGAGACGTCATTGTATTAAAATAACGAAAAACGACATTAGTAAAATAAATTTATGAAAGCAGCGTCCAAACATTTGGGAACTTCGAGGGATTTAAGGCACCGCCCCTTCAGCACTGCCTCTATAAAGCTACAGTATCCCTCAGCTATTCTACTTCTCCTTAACGTTTTCGAGCAATTAGAAGGGAAAACAGAACTGTACGAATATAACTTGTTTTACAGTCACAGGCTCTATTCTGCACGACGCATTTGTTATCAGCTTCAGCACGCAACGATTTTCGCTGTGTAACTTTTGATGGCATCATTGTTGTTATCGCAATTGCTGAAACAAATGCGCTTGATTTGAAAGGAATAAAGAACGTTGAATCGTTTCATAGTTTCACTTGCCCCGAATGAAAGGTAATGACAAGCTAGGTTATAGAAATGAAAGATATCTCAACAAGGGCACAGACTAGGGTTGCTTCATTGGTAGAGCATCAGACTCAGAACCGCGAGGTCTCGAGATCAACCTGGTCAGGTCACTTGTCTTTCTTTTTTTCACGGTAAATTAGAGCAGAGATTTTGTGGGAAGGAAACAGGGGACTTCATGTTATGCTTGTCACAGCTGTATATTCTGCGTTTAAAAGAAAAGGCACTCCTGACTAATGGCACAGAAATGGATATTAAACCGCACCATAAATTACATAAAAAATATGGAAAAAGGACGGAAAGGAAAGATGGCAACAGCTGGAAAGTCGGTCTTTCTTACACTTGCACGAAAGGTCATCCTGGCACCTTCTTTTCCGGAAGCTTACAGTGCGGGGCTGATGTCCGATTTGATGTCATCAGACCGGAATGCCCCTAATTTTAAAGTCAGAATAGAGAACCGTTATATGACAAGCACAGTGTGCACTGTTCTATTTCCTTCCCACACAGTAATATTCATATACCAAACTTCAAAGAAATAAAGGCGAGTGACCCCATACCGGTGCTCGCCAGAGCCTCTTGGTTCCGAGTCATCCTCTGTCACCGACAAGAGGAAACTGTTGATTAAACATCACTGCACATCGCTACGAATAAAACAGGGATATTCGGCGGCGGCGGGGTCAATTCATTTGTCATTCCTGGGGCATGGAAATTATAAATTTTCTGTTAGTATTTTGCATTTGGCGCTGTTTCTTCGGCTCCCTTCGATTTACTGTTGGCTCTTACGACGGCGAACGCTGTTTAATCGATACCTCAGTACTAAATTAATGAAAGTCCTAACATCGGTCTCTCGGTTGTACCTGTAATCATAGAATCTTGGGCATTGGCACTGGAAACGGCATAGGATAAAACTGAATTTCGAAAATATTTACATTATGTTAGCTTTTAGTATAACAGACG